TGTAAGTTTTGCTTTCAGGACTTTAACTCCCTTTAGAAAAAAATCTTTCGTCCTAAAGGGAATGAGTAGACTTTGGCTGAGTTGATGAAAGGAAATAGACAAGATAGTTGGAGAAAAGAAAAGACAATTCTTATCCTTGAGCCATAGAAAATGCTGCCTCCCAGCCGCGCTGTCATGTGCTGCTTTTACAGCAGGTGGAAACAACAGAGGTTGCTGTCTGACTTAAAGCTTTGAGCACTCACAAGCAGGGTGTAACCATTCTGAGACTGTTATCCTCTCTGCAGTGTACGCAGAAGCAGAAGCCCTGTGCAAAGAGTACGGGGAAACCAAAGGACCAGGACCGACAGCCAAGCCATCAGGACACTTGTTCTTTCGGAAGCTTGGAAGCCTTGTGAAGAACACCCTAGACAAATGTCAGAGAGAGAATGGGTTTATGTGAGTACTGCTCACTCCTTGATTCTGATACTACATGGCTCGTAATTGTTAAGATAGTCACATTTTAGCAACAGTTTTTCTCGCCAGTCCCAAAGGAGTTGTCTTAAATTGTATTTAAATTTAGTATTAATTTTCTCTTTAAATTACTGATAAAGTTGTTAAGGCCTTGTATTCTATGTATGATGATGTCATAAATATAGGTTTAAAATCTAAATGTGAATTGTTAACATAGTTTATTTCACTTCTATAAAGGCTTCTTTTTCTATTAACTTTGTTTCAATATGCTACTTAGGTGTGTGGGGTGTATGGTATGGGTGTGTGTGTGTGTGTGTGTGTGTGTGTGTGTGTGTGTGTGTGTGAGAGAGAGAGAGAGAGAGAAGAGAGGGGGGGTCAACTTCTTTGCATATTTGTCTCACACAGCTAACTATAAAGTAGGAAATTTTAATTTTCCCATAATTCTGCCTGGTCCTTTTGGGCAGTAAGACTAAGACTGCCTGCCTCTTCATATTCTTCCTGTGATACTCTGCTTTGGTCACATGGACTTTTCACTTGCCTGGTTCAGTTTTAGTCACTTCCTTTGAAAATAGACTGAGTCCCCAAATCCAGGCCCACTGCCCGTCTGTATTCTTTCTGTCCTCGGAAGCTGCTGTTGCATTGTTCTGTAACTGCTAGGGCTTCCTGAGTTTCTCATCTGTCCATCTGGGACTGTGCCCCCAGGGCAGAGAACTGTCATACTCATCATAGTCTTGAATATATTACGTGCTCAAGTAGTTGCTGAATAAGTGAATAAACCCACCATTTCAATTGCTTTTTGCAGTTACTTTCAAAAAATCCCAACAGAAGCCCCACAACTGGAACTCAAAGCAAATTATGGGCTGGTAGAGCCTGTGCCTTTTGAATTTCCTCCTATGAGTGCTCACTGGACACCGGAAGCGTTGGCTGCATTTGATCTCACCAAGAGACCCAAGGATGACAGTGTATGAGAACGGGGTTTTTCCTTCCGGTCACAGACCTTTAAGAAGAATGCAGAGCTGGTTTGCGATGTCTGTCTACTTCAGCAGGGCTGTGTGTGTCTGCAAGCTCAGTTAGATTATTGCAGAGCTTCATAGTCAGTTGTCGACTGCTCTCAGAAGTAGCCCCTGCACCTTTAGTAACTTAAGGAGAGTGTGGGGGAAGGTCATCTGTGTTGATGTTGCTATCACAGTGCCCCTCTGACACTGGGTATTTGAAGATTCAACTTAACTTCAGTACGCTGTGGTGCTGGGAATCAAATGGTAGCTCACATGGGAAGTTATGTGTGATTACCAAAAGACTAGGGATCTGTGACCGGAGAAGTGGGGATGGTGTTACAACCCTAGTCCTCCCATGACATGCATATTTTTATAGTTTCCTCCCCATACAAGTACTCCTTTGCATACTCAATTTTTTCTTCTTATTGAGCCTCTTAAATAGTACTTTAAAGATAGCCTATGTTGTCATAAATTGTCTCCACACACTAGGGTTCTGTTGCCAAGTTTTTCCTTCCTCAAAAGATGTAGAGGAGGAAACCCTGCTGGCTGTGGGCCGGCGGTCTAGGTTTCCGTCCACTGCGGTGTTGCCTGTGGGCAGCGTTTTAGAATGCAGCTTCTGGAATGCCGTGGGTAACCTCAGTGCCACCCCTTACAATATAGCGCCCTTGAAGGTCTAAAGCAGAGGAGATAGATCCGTGCGGGTTTTTTCAGTCTCCGTGTGCATTTTTACCTTGTTTTCTTTCTCCTTAGGTCAAACCCAAACCAGAAGACGAAGTGAAACCTGTAAAGGAACCAGATATCAAACCTCAGAAGGACACTGGGTGTTCTGTCTCTTAAGAGTGTAACACTTGCTTAGAAATCTTGCTGCCAGTCCCCAAGATAAGCTGCGGGACTTCAGCTCACATTTTCTGATTTCTCTGAAGCCCATAGGATAATTATTAACTTCGGAGGAACTTGGCCTTTTGTTTATTTATTCTTGATTTTTAACATAGAAGTGTTTCATGCTTTTGTTTCTGGGCTCTGCTTTTTTTAATCAGGACAACATTTGGAAGGGTTGTTTTGTATTTTAATGAGTATGTGGGGGTTGGGCCTTGTTTGAACTCTAGACAATAAGTTTCATGTTAATGTTTTCTACCTTCACTAAAAAAACAATGCTTATTTTCCTTCTTGTTCAATACCAGAATAATGTTTTAAGAAGTGGGTTCACCTCATCATGACTTGTTAGATATGAGTCTAACTCAGCCTTCTGGTAAGAAAAGAAAATTGCAGTTAAAAGTCAGAAAACCTTCAGACCAATAATTCCCTAGAAAATCAGTGTTTAGAAGAATGTGGAAGTTACTTGAAAATGGGTGGTGACAGGTCTGCAGTCTGCTGTCTGGCATACACCTCCCTTACCTGCACAGCCCCTGCTCCCGTAGTCACCCCCAGTATCCAGACAGTGGTTTGGTGTTTTGCTTTTTTTACAAGTACCTTTTCTAATGAATTTTTTTACTTAAGGGACAAAGTTTTGTACTAGCATTTGGTGTTTCCTTGTAGAGAAGTAAAAAGAATGGAGTGTGTTTTGAAGAAGTAAAACACTGCATGTTGTAAAGAAAGCCTTGGTAAACTCAACTGAGATAGGTCGTCCTGGATCACCCTGATGACGCCTTTGTTAAAAGCATTTAAGAAAATGCCCTTGGTTACCTGATTTTGGTGTACATTGTGTTTTTAACATGGTTTTCTTCAATATATAGCTTATCAGAATTGTTTGGCTGTAGGCCAAGGCCATAGCCCCAAAAGGTTAGGATGTAGACATAGACTATGATCTTCAAAGTGGGTTGTACTGCTTCGAGTCTGTTTATATCCACAGACTAGGAAATAGCAATATGTGACACTTTAACAAGTCATATATCTGTAGTGTGCCCCTGCTTGGCTACTCTGCTGCAATGTTAACTCCTTTCATAGGTGGCAGATTGGCTCACTTGATAGGAACAGTAGTGTACACGAGAGCTTACTGTGTAGCAGCCAGTGTGCAGGCACGTAGACAGACCACTGCACCCACATAGCAAACCCTTTGGGAAACACATCAATCACAGAAAGTATTGAAACAAGAGATGAAGAATGAACGGATGATTTCTTCAATCAAGATTGTATTCAATAAATCATATACCATAGTTTACACTCCTTTGGAAAGGTATGTAAATCAGGTTTTGTTTTGTTTTTTATAGAAATGCTAGTTACAGCTTACAGTATCTATTTAATATTTGAAGCTGCAGCTTTCAGAATACTTGGAGAAACTACTGAATGGGCATTAAATTTTATTTTGCTGCCTGTAGAAAGAAATACTAAATTTCACCCTTACCATGGTCACTTGTCCTAAATGCCAGTTACTGACAAAACTTTAACCAGTACTTGCCCCCGCCTGTTTGCTCTGCCTGTGGGACTTATTTTAGGCACTATTACTCACCAACCTAGGGAGTGAGATTTTTGTGGACTGACTAAACTTGTGAAATGGAAACACATAATATGTCCAGTGCTTCTGTCCAGTGCAGTAAGTACAGGTGTTGAAATCCACACCTGGCAGCGTTCACATGGTCAGATGAGAAGTCTTCTGTTGATTGAAGAGGTGACACCAGCAGCCTAACACACCCTGTTACATAAGGTTTTGAAGTGACATTGGGGACTTGGGGAGGTACAGAATGTGAACACTGGCATGAAGGCCATAGAGAAATGGAACTGCACATTAATGTTGCATGTATTTCATACCGGGCAAGGACAGTTCACATACTACTTCTGCTCAGTGTTTATATAATGATTTATCTTTTTATTTATGGAAATAAAAGCAATTTTACCTACATTTTCACTGAATTTTTTGTGGGGGTGTGTGTTTCATATACTTAGCTAATAGCAGATTTAGTACAGTACATATTCTTTCTTACAGTAATAATTTTAAATGACATTTGCATCAGTTCTGTGCTTCCTGAGTTAATTTCCTTGACATACTTTGTAGATGGAGTTTCTGTCCCGCCTGGTCCCACAGCCATTTAGCCCCAAATAAACACACAGAGACTTATATCAATTATAAACTGTTTGGCCAATGGTTCAGGCTTCTTACTGGCTAGCTCTCTTAATTATTAACCCACAACTATTAATCTATGTATTTCTACATGGCCTTATCTTACCAGAGAGCGCCCAGCACGTCCTATCTTCCCAATAGCTAGATGGCATCTCCCAGGGCAGGGTTACAAGCAACTGAGGGCAGGGAGAGAAGGGTACAGGGTAGAGTCTCAGCTGTGAGGCCCAATGATCCTCCTCACCCCCTTTCCCAAGAGAGCTTCAATATGCCAGTCATGCAAGGGTCACATGCAGGTGATCACTCTTGTGGTTTCAAGACAGCAACACCCTGGTCATCCTTCAACAAGAGTTCCACAACCATATAGCGCAAGAGGCCAGACAGCAACCTCAGAAGCCACTGGGCCTTGACTTGGGTGACCCACTGGAAAGGTTTAAACAGGAGTAACAGGATCAAACAGTTGAACAAGTTTGGATTTTTTTTTAAGTTTAGGCTGTATAGGAAGCCTAAGATGACCTTTACAATAATACAGACCAGGGTGGGACAGTTAATGGCAGAAAGTCTTAGGGTTCTGGAAATACACAAGATAATTTCTTGAGATATTTAATATGAGATTTGATTGAAGAATCAATAATGGCTAATGCTTTCAGCCTGAGAAATTAGAAGGATAGAATTGTAAAGGTGGGGTTTAAATGAGTCCACCAGACAAGGCAAGATGCCTCTACAGAATTGGCATATATTGAGATAGCAAGACTACCAGGATAGATGTGTGTGTGTGTGTGTGTGTGTGTGTGTGTGTGTGGTGATCCAATCTAATCAGGATTTAGAAGCCTGCCTATTTGACATCCCAGAAAAACTGGCAAAGAGGTGGATCTGTGAAATACACCCAGAGCAAAACCCTGATGTAGAATATATACACCCCAGAGTCATCTGTGTGTAGACAGTATTTAGGCCACAAATCATTAAGAGGCAGTCTAATATTGAAAGACTGGACACGGCATGGTCTGCTGATCACACTGTGTACCTTTACAAGTAAAGGTCTTCTGAAGAATCGAACAGGTTAAACAGCTTGACACAAGGAGCCTTTGACCTGGGAATTGGTATAAAGAGAGAAATGTTACCAAGATGTTCAAAAAGAAAACCAAACATTCCAAATTGCTCTCTATTGAGCCACATGACAGGCACTGTGATCAACAAGGTGAATTCTGTATGGCATATTTTCAAGTGACCATTAGGTGGCAGAAAAGCCTTCTCTAAACCAACTGCGAGCTACAGTCTTCCTCCACCCTGTCTGGCTAGGAGTCCTCTGAATCAAAGACAAGTTAGTCTAGTGAATGCAGAGTACTGTAGTTACAGAGAAGAGAGAACAGGGAGCCAACAGCCTGTAATTCACAGAGGAGAACAAGCTATCCAGAGTAGACTGTAGGTGTGGTTCGCTTTGGAAAGAGATGTTTGGGTGGTCTTAAGGAGCATGAGTTGACTACAACCAGTCCGTTAGGCCGTATTTAAACCTTTCATATTCAAGCTTTTTAGATTTTCGTGAGACTGAAGTAGACAGGGCTCAGAAGTAAAAGACAAGGATCCTTCCTAGAAAATAATGCACAGAGCATTCTAGAACTGGCCTGAAGTTTAAGCTTTCTGTAGTTCACCACCTCACTGAACTTTGCATTTAAAAGTTATTTCTTTTCCCACTCTTCATAAGACGTGCTGATCTTCAAATTTGACTGCAAGTTGGGGTCACCTGGGTAGCTTCACAGACTTCAGGTGGCCTGTGTATCCTGGGACTGTGATATAAGTAAGTGGCCTGCGGTACATCTCTTTGGCGCTTCTATCAAGACCCAGGTGACTCTAAAGTCGAGTTTGGGAACACCAGGTTTGGTCAATGTTGACTGTGTAAACATAGCAAAGCTCCCCACAAATCAAACACGTCCCTCCTTGTAAGACAAACACAAGATCATTTCCACGTCAGCACACACAGGGACTTGGTGTGGCCTCAGTTGGGTGTGATCAATTTACCTTCTGTGTAACAGCTTCTAGCTGAGAAGAAGGTGTCTAATTACGGCGAGGAAAAGGAAGCATCATGTGAGTTGGCTTCTGAAAGTATTTTTTATTTTCCTTGGATTGTCATAGAATGTGTTTTGTTTCACATGACATGTATATTTACTTGTTCAATACTATCATGATTCATATTATTATTGGTCTTAACAAATTTAAATGGTGACTTATTTATTTAGTGCTCACTGTCATTAGAAACCAAATGGTACCTTTGCTTCCTGTCACTTTCCTGGGGCTTCTGTGCAGCTCACTGGTACTAAGCCAGGGACAACAGGTGGACCCTCCAGGTCTCCTCAGTGATCCCCAAAGGTGCTGTATCCTGTTATTGTGCCTCAGAAAATGAATTTAACACATCTGCCTCCCAGACATTCTAGAACTCTGATCTTCTCAGTTGCATAAACTAAGCATTGCACCAATAAGACATGGTTACTTGTGTTACCAAAAATAATAAAGTAACAGGTGACTTCATTCATGAGTGCTTTTGTGTGCACACACCTGCATCCAGTTTTGCTTGTGCTGCTCATAAAATAGTTCTGAATTGTCAGTTGTCAACCTTCTAAAAAGAATGCTAACAATGATTGACATTTACTTCTACTACTGATGAATTCCTAATGCCTCCCTCTCCTTCATATTTTTGTTCACAAGCTTCCCATCCTTGTCTCCATTTGTATTTGTTTTTTAATTAAGATTGATTTATTTATCATGGGTACAATTTTCTGCTTGTATATATGCCTCCATATGAGAAAAGGGCACCATATTTCATTATGAACGGTTGTGAGCCACCATGTGGTTGCTGGGAATTGAACTCAGGACCTCTGGAAGAACAGCCAAGTCTATTAGCCACTGAGCCATCTCTCCAGCCCTCCATTTGTTTTGTTTTATTTTTCATTTTTTTTAGAGAGATAGAAGTTCTCACTGTGTAGTCCTGGCTGACCTGGAACTCTCACTTTGTAGACCAGTATGGCCTTGAACTCACAGAAATAGCCTGCTTTTGCCTCCCCAGTGCTGGGATTAAAGGTATGAGCCACCAAGCGTGGCCTTCTTGCTTTCTTTTTTAGGGTAATTGTTTTCTTTTACTTCTGTTAATTATAAAATTATGCATCCTCGTTTCTTTTTTTCTAGTTATCCTTAAATTGCTCACTTGTGTGCCAAATAACGTATCTCACATATCCCTAAACAATTCTTGGAAGCTATTATCTCATAGTTTTAATGGTCTAATACTTAGTACTGTTTTATCTTCATCTTGTCCCCACTGAAATTGTGTTAAGGGTCAATACCTACTGTTACTTGAATTTTTCTCTTTTCATTTAAATTCTGTTTCTTACATATCACTCTTGCTTCTTTTTGACGAAAACAAAAATTATTAACCATGTTTTCATGTCACTCTCTCAATTGTTGTTTTGCTAGTAACTGAATTCCTTTTGACAGGAATTCACTGTCTGATGGATCATTGTCTACTTGAAGTTGGCCAGTACTGTAATTGCTACACCTTTGTGAGTAATCTTTTCTTTTTCTATCAAATTAGTTATTTTCTGTTGGGTTGTAGGTGTATTTCAGCAGTAGTACTTAGCTAGCATACACGAGGCCCTTTCCCAGGATTGCTTATGAGGAAACATTTTCTGTCATTTTCACTATCTATCTATATCTGATTTCATGCCTGTTCATCCCCTTTGGTATTCTCTGTTTCCAGATGTGAAGCCTGTTTCTTTCTTCCATTGCGGACAGTTGACAAGCCATCTCCTCCTTGCTCTTCCTGTTCAGTGCTTCCAAACTCTCATTAGACATCTCTTGTACTTTCTTACCTATGTTTTGTAGCTCACAACTTTGGATTTGTGTTAAACACGTATGTATTTATTCCATACTCTGAGAGCTTCCTTGGATTTCTTCACTGCTTTAAATGTATACCCAAGCTTTCCTGTGTTGGCTGTATGCCTCCTTTCTAGAATTTCTGTCTAGTTCCTTCTGTGGGTGTTACATTTCCCTGTGTCTTCCCAAACACAGCAGACCCAGGAAGACTCGCTTGAAAGTTTCCATCTGTACTCTTCAGGGTTCTCTAGCGTAACAGAACTTACAGAATGAATCTATATAGAGAGAGGGGGATTTATTAGACTGACTTACAGGCTGCAGTAATCCAACAATGGCTGTCTGTGAATGGAAGGTCCAAGAATCCAACAGTTGTTTAGTCCCATGAGGCTGCATGTCTCAGCTGGTCTTCAGGATACACCAGAATCCTGAAGAAGTAGGCTCTAATGCCATGAGGGAATGGACTTGTGCAAGGCAAGGGACAAGCAGGCAAAAAAGCAAAAGCTTCCTTTTTCCATGTCCTCATCTTGGCTTCCAGTAGAAAAGGTGGCCCAGGTAAGATTGGGATTAGAGATGAGTCTTCCTACCTCAAAAATCCAGATTAAAAATGGACCAAAAGCCCTCACAGGTACCCCTCCATGTGGGGTTTTAGTTCCAGATGTAGTCAATTTGACAACCGCTTATTTTATTATTCTAAATCCTTGGATCAGGTCTATTACAGATCTTGAATGTAACCATTTGCTGAAAACGTGGTGCCCAGCCCAGGGTGCTGTTGAGAGGTAGGTGGTGGAGCCTTTAAGTAGGGCCCAGTGGAAGGAAGCTAGGCCACTGGGGGCATGTGTTAACCTTTCATACTCCCTCTCTCTTTGCTTCCTGTTCTCCTTTTAAAACATTGAATCAAACTAACCTTTTCTCTCCGTAAGTTTCTTATCCCAAACAGTTTGCCTGAGCAACAGGAAGCTGACGGGCACAGACTCCGATGCCCGTTGTCAGTTGCACTTCCCTCTTCATGGTTTGTTTCTTTGAGCAGTTTCTAAGTTTCTGCAAGCACGTCCTCATCAGAGGTCCTTTTTAGCAAAGATTCAGGAGACCCTGTTTTGTTGAAGTATAATCCGAGGTAGGTTTGTCTTTGCAATCGGCAGGGTTGTGAGGGTATCCTGGTTTTGATTCCTTGACTTTGCCGTCGTACATCGTACACAGAATGACCCTGTACTGGCTGCCTATCAGTGTATGGTCTGGCCCTACGTTCCAGTTGTTTTCCAGGAGAACATTGCCACGATATGGCAAATTCTTCTGCTACCTTTGCAGGCCATGAGAGTTTCTTGAGTCCGTAAGTCATAGATACAACAGTGCTTTATTATCTTATTTTTCATGTGTAGCTCATGTTAACTCCTCATTCATACTCATGGCATTCATGACGGGGACTCCCCTCTCAGTATTGACATTAGCGTCCAGCCTTAAGGCCTGCTTCTGATTTGGAAACTCCCGGGAGCTGCCTGGGCTCCCGCTCATGCTCTGTTTCCTCCGATTCTGACCTCTAGGCCCGCCCCTTCCTGCCTGCGTGTCTTTCTTCCTTATTCTCTTCTTCCACTTACCTCTCTTCTTCTCCCCCGTCTTAGAGCAGCTATGAGCTAATGTTTGTGACTGCTAATTGTGACTGTGGATTTCTGTGTGTTTGGAGCAAAAAGGAGAATTATTCCAAATCAGCTAAGTCTGCTATACTTGATGATATAACCTTAAAACATATTAAATGTTATTAAAAAATAAGTGTGCTTTTAGCATTGGTGCCTGCTATATATGCTACTAAGCTAATGATAGATAATGATAGCTAGCTTTTATTAAACATTATTTTCTAAGAATTGTTCTACCTTTTTATGTCTTTATAGTAACTATAAAGACTTGCTACAGGATCATTTTGTATTATTTAATAGATGAGCATACCATGACAGGCATATATTAAGTAGTAAGATTTTTAAATATAGGTATCCTGGCACAAAAGCTTTTATGCTTTATTGAGATGTGCTTTAAATATAATAAAACCAGAGGCAGCAAGACGGCCCAGCAAGTAAGGGTACTTGTGGCTAGATCCGACTACCTGAAGTCAACCTCTGGGAGCGTCAGTGTGGAAGGACCACGAGTGCCTTAAAGCTGTCCCCTGACCTCCACACTCAATGCCATGGCATACCCACCCCCAACCCCACACAAATAAACAAATATTTACAAAATTAAGTAAAGCTAACTAGCTTCCACGTCACATTTGCTTAGTTTCTATAAATGTGTGCAGCCAGGAGACCTCTATTATAGCATGACATCTATTTCCATCTAAGAAATTACCTTTGGTGCCCGTGTTGTTTTTCTTTCTCCTCGTGAAAACACTGAGCTTTTTTTTTTTTACATCTGTGTGTTGCCTTTCCTAAACATAAATGGAATCTCCCCATGCAATGACTGGCTTCTCTCGCTTAACAGAATGCTCTAGAGAGTCTTTCACTGTGTTACAAGTGTTAGTTGTTTCATTCTGAATTATGGAGTAGCATTTCATCGACTAGATAAATTCCTTTTTGCTCCCTTGCCTCTATAGATGATGGTTTGATTTGCTGTCAGTTTGGGATGCTCACAAATGGATGTGATATGAATATTCACATTTGTTAGACATTTTTTTCATTTTTTGGGTAGTTATCAAAGGAAGAAGTTAAAAGAGGAAATAGTAAATGTATGTTTAGTGTTTAAGAACTTGCCAAATGTTTTTTATTGCTTTTTTGAAACAGAGTTTCTCTGTGTGACAGCCTTAGCTGTCCTGGAACTAGCTCTGTAGACCAGGCTAGCTTCTAACTCACAGATATCTGCCTGCTTCTGTCTCCCAAGTGCTGGGATTAAAGTCATGCACCACCACCACCACCCATAACCAAATGGTTTTCTAAAGTGATTCAAGAGACTGATTTTGTCTCACTGATTTATAGATTTCAGTTCTTGGTCACATGGGCTTCAGGTGGCACAGCATAACTTCGTGGGAATGTGGCAGAGGAAGCCTGGTCATATAATAGCCAGTAGGAAGCAAAGAAAGAGGAAAGGCCTCCAGGCCCTACAAGGGTGCACCCTGAGTGACCTTGTCACCACACTGGAGGTGGTGAGACCTGGGAGAATGGCACGGACGAGCAAAGCAGACGAAAGTCTCACGCAGTAGCCGGCTTTATGCGGGGCATCAGGCAGTTTACGCTCTGAGGGTTAAGAAGGGGCACCTGAGAAAAGTGGGCAACCACGGGTGGCTGGCAAGCCGCACATGGTAGATAAGCCGCACGTGGTAGGCAAGCCGCGCGTGGTAGGCAAGCCGCACGTGGTAGGCAAGCCGCACCGCACGAGGTAGGCAAGCCGCGCGTGGTAGGCAAGCCGCCCGTGGTAGGCAAGCCGCACCGCACGAGGTAGGCAAGCCGCACGTGGTAGGCAAGCCACACGTGGTAGGCAAGCCGCACATGCAAAAACAGGTTTTCCCAGAGAGGAATATAAATAGTGTAATGTGCCTTTTTCCACCAGCCTGGTCCCAGAGCCGCATCAGTCCCGAATGAACACACAGGAGGCTATATTAATTATGAAGCTGTTGGCCATTTGCTTGGTTTCTTATCGGCCAGCTCTGACTTAATTATTAACCCATAACTGCTGATCTGAGTATTTCCACATGGTCTTCTTACCAGAGAAAGGGTCTGGACCTCTTACTCCTTTGGTGTCCTACATCGTGACTGCCTGTGCCTCTGTTTCCCAGAATCCTCAACTCCTAGTCTCACCTATCTTGCTTCCCTATTGGCCAACAGTGCTTTATTAATCAACCAGTAGGACAACATATACACAAAAGAACTTCCCCCATCAAAATAGCAATAACCAGTTGTAATGAATAATCTGAAGTGAACTCTTAACTATCCAGTACACATTGGAGGAACATGAAAACACATTCCAAGAACAATTTTGTGTTTAAAGAAACTGGAGTTCCAAGACTCTTTTCTTGTTTTCCTGGAGTTTTTTTTTTTTTTCACGAGCACTCAGAATTCTCCTCAAACAATCCATTCTTGGACCATGTTCCAACATGGTCTCAGACCCTTCCATCAGACCCCACCTTCTAAATGTCCTAATATGTTATAGTAGCATCACAGGTTGGGGACCACACCTGAAACACCTGGGCCTTTGGGGAACATTCCAGATCTAAACAATAGCACCTTCTCACTAGCAATGTATGAGTGCTCCAATTGCCTCACATACTACCCAATGTGTGATATTATTAGTCATATTAAATCCTAGTCACTCTAGTGGGCATATTTTGACATCTTACTAGGCTTCAATATGCAGGCCTCTAATGATTAATGACACGACCATCTTTTCATGTGTTTATTTGCTCCCTATAACTCATGTTTGGGAGTCTGCTAAAATCTACTGGTTATGTGAGAATTCTCTCTTATCTATTGGATTATAGTAATTCTTCACATATTCTGAAACGCTTCTTGATCGAAACGGGCTTCGCAAATATTTTCTCCTGTCTGTGCACAGTCTGTGCTTGTAAATAATTCCCTGTGTCATCTCTCAATGCAAACTGGAATGATTGAGAAACTTTGATGGTCAATTACTCACTCCTACCAGCAGTTGTGGGGTTTACAGTAATTAAAAGATCAGACAACCATGATGAATATCCAAAACCACATTTTTACTAAACAAATCTCTTTTATTCTAATAGAGACTGAGCATTCCTCTCGGGTGTGAAGAGTCAAGACTGCTGATAGGGTTACCTCTGAACTCCGTCTTTACCTTGACTGAGAACAGCTAGACACCCCCCGGCTCTATATAAACCCTGTGCTGGGCATCTTGTCCTGGAGCATTCTGTTTTCACGTAACTGGGGAATCCTTTGTGGAGGAAGGCCATCTCCAGCAGTTATATTCAGAAATGAGTGGATCTTATAGAAGAGCTGTTCCCAAAAGGGTTATCCACTTTGCTGACGGAGACACCATGGAAGAATACAGCACAGAGGAAGACGAAGAAAGAGAGGAACAGAACTTGGCACATGATCCTGTAAGCTCATCGTATTAGTACCAGTGGGAGGAGAGGAATAAATAAGAGATCGATCCAGACAAATTATATAGAAAATATGGCTTTACATATTCAGGTTTTGGTCCCCTTGATTACTTTCTAGATCACATACAGGCAACAGACAGTCATTGGTTAGTTAATTTTCTCACTGGTAAGAGAGAAAATTAAGCATTTGTAATATATTTTGAAATCTTTGTATAAGAATCGACAGTCACTACTCCTGATATTAATTACTTGAATTTTTAATCATAGTTATCTATTTGTCGGGGTTGAGAGCACACATGGCGTGGCATGTACGTGGAAGCCAGTAGACAGTACGGAGGGGTCAGTTTTTCCTACCACCACGTGGGGTCTGGGGCCTGAACCCAGGTTGTCAGGCTTGCCAGTAAGTGCCTCTGCCCACTTGTTAATAATTATCCTAAATTGGTCTCTCTCTATTTTTCAGTCTAAACTTTCGTGGGGATCATACTTCTGGTTTTGGGCAGGTCAAGTGGCAAGCAATTCAATTTCTAGTAAGTACTGTTGAGGTTTAGTTTGTTTTTCTTTCTGTCCTAGCTGTGTATTAATTGATTCTCCAAGACAGATGAGACTTCCGGCTGTTCCATCCACTCCTCAGGATTCAGAAATGATAATGTGGTTACTTCTAAGTTCATGTGTCAACTGTCTGAAAGACTTGGAGGTCCTTCTATCTGCCTTCTGTTATTCTTTCTACCAGTGGAACTTGATTAGGATGGGATTGGCTCTCCAAAGTATCGTCAACATCATTGCCTTCCACAGTTGTGGAAAACATGCATTCTTTAAAGGGTCATTCCATCTGACCACATCACTCCATTATTATTAGTTTTAGTGTAGCTTGAAGACTTACTTACTGCTTGTTGCCATGGCACCCAAGCCAGTCAGGCCTTCACACTTTCTTCAGGTCTACTTGGGATGTGAGTTTCCTGAGTCACCCTGTCCTTAGTCCCTGAATGACTGAATCACATGAGAACAGAGATTGCCAGCACATCTTTTCTTATCTTGACCCAAATTTCCTTCTTTAAAAGTTCCCGCCATCTCTCTAGTTATCACCCTCAGAGCTGTGCAAAGCCAGCCCACATTCGTTCATGGGTCAAGGATGCAAATAATGAAGCCAACAGTCAGTCCTTCCTGAGTTTATTCTTCATCTGGACAAACTTCCAGATTTTTAAAAAATATATTGAATGGTACACTTCAAAGTTCCCCCATCACAGTCACTCTAATATAAACATGAGCTCTATTGGTCCCTCCTGGGGACATAAGTGATGTCCTATATGCTTATTTATAGCTCATAGAATCTTACTTTGTTTTACTCACATTTTTGACACAATTGGCAAAAGTATAATGACTCATTTCCTTCTAATGTGCCTGCTTGTGAATGTAATATCGGGAAAAATTACTTTTTACTGTAGAGTTCTGAAAGAAAATATAAAATGTAGCTCTCGCAAACTTATCTTTACTCATCCATTAAAAAAGCATTACTGACTGCCTACTGCATGCCCTGCACCAAGCTGGACTCTGAGACACAAAGGCAAATGATGTCTTCATGGAATTCGATTTTCAATGAATAATATAGACTAGTAAATGTGTCCAGAATTGTAATTTGTGCTCATAATTGTCAGGATAGGAACAAGTTGGGGGACTAGGGACAGGGAGAGTCAGGAAAACTGACATAACGAGAAAGTCCTGAGAGAACCATGAAAGTATCTGATTAGCTGATGAAAGTTTGGGAACCATAACATTAGTCCCCATCATAAACGGTTAATCACTTCGAAGGAAGGAGCCGTCATAGCTTTAGTTTTTTCCTGCCCTTGCCCTAGGTCAAGTAAAAGATACAAAACTCTACAGGATGAGAGCATAAAGGAATGGTCTACAGTGATTTTCATTGGGGTTTTGGCTTAGAATGATACAACTTCCTGGGCATGGTGGTTCATGACTATGGTCCTGGTTATTCCAGAGGCCCAGTGTGTAAACAAGTTCAGGCTCTTAGCACCTTGGCTGACCCTAAGCTTCAGGCATGCATTCAGTTTTTCTAAGTGTTTGTTCCTCCTTCCAGCTTGTGAATTCCTTGGTGAAAGATTTGCCATCTTCTTTGGCCTTACTGAACCCAAATACCAGTATGTGCTGGATGAGTATCACAGAACACAAAATAAGGTAGGTCGAGTCCTGCTGGGGTGCTGGGGGCTCTGAGAGGGGTGGGGTATTTTACTAGTTGGGTTTCTGCTTGCTTTGACTGAACACTGGCAGAAGGGACTCAAGGAAGGTTGATTGACAGGTGGACAGACTCACAGAAGCAGGGAAGTCTTGGTAGCCAATGGCTCCATAGCAGTGGTGGTGGTGAGGCTCTTTCTTTACATCTAGCTGGATCAGGAAATTGAGAAGGAACAGGAAGCTGCTGCTCTAGCTAGGCCTATTAGCCCAAAATTTCCACAATCTCCTGAAACAGCACTACCAGCTGGAAACCAAGTACTCAAATCCATGAGTCTATAGGGAATATCCAAAGGTTTGGAGTATGGAAGAATGTGTTCCCATCTTATAATCAAGCCATGCAGTTGCACTGAGTTCCCATGACCAGACTGGCTCACATTTCTGATGCCTCTTACCCCTCAACACCCCTCACTTAGCATTTGCCTCCTTCTCATGAAATCAGGATTTCATAAGTAGAATAGCAAAAAAGTTGAGCATGAAGCTTGATATTGCTTAAAAGGCAAAGCTTCTTACATGAGTGTCTCTATGAGAGGGCGTTCTGAGGCTGGTGCCTGTTCTGTGAAATTTTTCCTTCTTTCTCTCCATCCAGGAAGGTGACAAGGAGTTTGAAGGGAATGGATCAAAGACCCAGGATGCTGAGGTTCCTAATGAAAAGTGTCACCTGGGAGCTGGTGGCCAAGAGTATGGGGCCATCTCTTCCAGAGAAGGCCCAGGGGCAGTTTCCAGCTCATGATGGACAGCAGAACCTACCCCTGCATTCCGATGCCTTGACTATTGGTTACCATGGTGACAGCACAATAGGCAGTACTTGTGAGCTTGGTCTGGTTCTAAGCTCATGAATGAATTCTCAAGAATCCAAGAGTTATATATAACAAGTAAAGCAATTTTAGAGACTTTCACAATATAAAATTTTAATTGTGAACACCTACCCTGATGTCATCCCAGTAATAGAAATTCTGTCTGCTCTGACTTTGCACAACAGCAATGCCTCATGGGCCTGAAAGTCTGGGCTTCCATTTTTATGATGGTGTTAAAGTCCAGTAAAAACAAAAAACAAAACAGAACAAAACACTAGAAATCTAAATTTAACCTACGAATTCCCCTTATAACAAGTATTTTCTTCTATACAGCCAACTGAATTCATTGGAACTTGTTTTACCATCGGCAACTTCATCAGTACATTACCCCCTTTAAAGATCTTTGTCAACATCTTTGAGAGTTCCATGGTAAAATCAGTAGCTGAGTGCTAGAAATAGTCTGTGTCCTAGTTCCCCTTGTGTTGCTCTGATGAAGTCCTCCAACAGAAGCTGCTTAGGGGCGACTGTTTATTTCAGCTCACAGTTCCAGGTTCCAGTCCATCATGACGGGGGGTGCACCGCAGCAGGAGCTCCAGAGAACCCAGTCTTGTGAAGTCCACAGTGGGACTAGGGCAATGGGTGCATGGATGCCAGTGCTCAGCCAAGTCTCTTCTTCCCATCAGTCCAGTAACCAGCCCTTGGGAGTGGCAGCACCTACCTTAATTAGGTCAGAAAAGAGCATCGTTCACAGATATGCCCCTGGCCAACTTACTCTAGAATGCCTCATAGAGACTCCCTTCCCCAGTGGCCCTAGATTGCTTCAAGCTAACGATGAAAACTAGTCACAATATTTTAAACAGATTTTTAAATTTTAACCTTTTACATCCCTTCCCTCCTCCCACTCCCCTCCCCAGCCCACCCCTCCCTCTACTCCTCAGAAAGTAGCTTATATAACAAAATAGGATTGTTTTTGGAAGGGTAATAAGGTAGCTCACAGTCTCCAAGGTCAGATAAATCTCAACAGTGTCTAGCTCAGTCTGATAAGAAACTAACAAAGTCCCCTCCCTTTCTCATCCCTCATGCACTGGAGGCAGAGGGACATTCAGTAACATTCCTAACTCCTCTGCTCAGTGATTAGTGTTTTGAACCTCAGTCCCAACTCAAAACAGTCAGGAAACAGTTTCTGACTAGCCCTCCTTTGTCCTATGCCAAGTAGAGACACACTGTAGTAACATGGTTATAGGGCCCTTTTCTCAATGAAGGTGATTCTCAGGAAAAGGGACTAAAAATGATCTCAGCAGATAATGCTGTGGGCATTTTATGCAAAAATCGAAGAAAGCCACTTAGCCATAATTAGGCACTATAGTCACTGTGCGTCAGTTATGCTTTTGAACATTTGTGATGTGTCACGTTGATTGGGCCCGGATTAAAGACCGTCTGTGAGACTGTTTCAGTGAGACCAGCACTCATACAGTGTGGGGGCGTCATGTAACTCCATCCAAGGCCTGAGTGGGATAGAAAGTCCAGGATGGAGGATCTTCTCCTTTCTGCTGCCTTCGTGCTTGAGCTACAATGTCTCGTGTCCTCTTCTCTTCGTGTGCCCTTGGCCTGGGACTCAGGTCACTGCTTGCCCCACCCCACCCCATTCTCAGGCCTTTGGACTTTGCTTTGTTCTGACACCAGCTTTCCTGAATTCTCAGGATGCAGGTGGCAGACTATGGGATATCTTGGCTTCTATAACCGAGTGGAATCATATCTATCCAACTCCCCGTAAGAGACCTACTTCCCTACCTATCTATCATCCGTTCATCCTACTGGTTCCAAACCACTGGAGAAACTGATTAATAAACATAGAGAGAGAACCCTCGTTTCATGGGTTTGCATGGTTTGTCCTCACTAAGCAGTCTTAATACTTTATCTGATATGCTCTGTTGGTTCAGTTTCAAGGTGAAGCGAATCTGAGAGTTTTATGACATAGAGGGAGGGGCCACATCTCACTGCTAAGTATTACTTACGTTAGCCTAGGATGTCAGATCAAAGCAAAAATCAATACTTGATTTACTTGCTTTTTTCTTTCAGAGTAAGCTCTAGTGGTTTTTTTTTTTAACTTTTCTAATAAAACTATCCACTGACCAAATAAATACTTGTCGATGATTCTAGGGAACTAGACTGTGGTGGTTTGAATGAGGAGAGCCCCTATAGGATCATATATGTTTTAATGCTTGGTCCCAGTTGGTGGAGCTGTTTGGGAAGGATTAGGAGGCATGGCCTTATTGGAGGAGGTGTGTCAATGAGGCAATGCCTACTCCATCCCCAGCATGTGCTCTCTGTCTCTGTTTCTCTCTTCCCACCCCACCCCCAAACCCAGCTGACATGTCGTGAGGACACTCAGGCAGTGCAGTGGACTCAATGCGCTCTCCCCAGACCCCCAAATTCATATGTTAAAATCTCAATATCACCTGGGATGTGTTAGGTCGTTACATCAAATACCTCTTGAAGGAGATTTGTGCTTGTGTAAGAGGCCAGAGGTAGCCAGTCCACCATGTGAGAAGACAGCTTTTACAACTCAAGATGGTTGTTCCAAGTTCTGAGCATGCTGGCACAGAGATTTTTGGCTCCCAGAATTAAACCAGCCAGCCCATGGTGTTTGCTGAGGCAGCCTGAACCCAGCAAGGCTATGAAGAAATCCATGTTGTATGAAACAAAAGTTGAGACAAACATCCAGTGTAAACATGGGTATGTCTGGAAGATGACCTCCTAGCCTACAGATGACTATAGACCCGGTCTGCAGCTGGCACACAGCATGATGAGATCTCCTGAGCCAAGACCTTCAAGCCAAACCTCTCCTGGATTCCTGACTTACAGAATATCAGATCAGAAATATTTTATCTTAAGTTTTGCCCTCACACAGCAATAGTTCCAATACATGTTTAATTCCTACACATTCCTATGGGCTCCTAAGGATAACTGAGCTCAACGAAGAACCATAAAGTTCCTAGAAGGCAGATACTTCATCTCACCCACCTCAAGACTAGACTGAACTCATCAAGCCACATCAGATATGCCCCCTACCTTACTGTAAGATGGGGAAGCCATGCCCCATAGCTGGCTCCTCTGCCTTCCACTAATACAGTCTCCTGTTTCCTTTGCCACCTGCCATTTGCCCAGAGCTGTCTTCAATGTACCAAAACCCAAACCAAACCAAACAAATGAAAACTACTTCTCTGTAGGACTTCTCATGATCGTCTCAGAAGAGAGAGCTTAGGCTCCCTGGAGAAGGCACCTCTGCAGTGATAAAACTCTTAGACATCAGCACCCACTTCCCTCAAAGGTAATCATATTGTCCAGATGGTTCAGTAACAAGAGGCTCTGTCATTACCATACTCTATAACCAGAACCAATACTTCTCACCAAGACACAGCATACCTGTCACCAATCTAGCCTCCCCTCTTTTGTAAATTCAAACAATTTTATTAATATTGGTGGTAGGGGAGATGTTCGTGGATGTGATTTTCCTGGTGCACACGTGGAGGTCAAAGAACAGCCTTGGGGTTTTGGTTCTCTCTTTCCACCTTTACGTGGGTTCAGGAGAATGAACTCAGGTCACCAGGCTTGTACAGTAAGCATCCTTACCCCCTGAGTCATCTCACTGGTCCCTTTCCCTCTTTCTAGTTGATTACCTCCTGAGTCTTTATCACACTACCACACTTTGGTTACTGTCATCCAGTCTATCCTCAAATGTTCACATCTTTGAATGCTGTCCCCCTGTCTCTCTGTCTCTCTCTCTGTATGTCTCTCTCTCTGTGTCTCTCTGTCTCTCTCTGTCTCTCTCTCTCTCTCTCTCTCTCTCTCTGTGTGTGTGTGTGTGTGTGTGTGTGTATGTATGTGTGTTGAGATAGGATTTCTGAACCTTAGTTTGGCCTTGAACTCTCTATGTGGTCAAAGATGACCTTGAATTCCTTATCCTCCTTCCTCTACCTCCCAAGCACTATGATCACTGGCCTGGACACCATGAACAGTTATGTGCTATTGGGATCAAACGTATAGTTTCATGCATTCTGGTAAACACTCTACCACCTGAAACCCATCCCTAGTTCTCTGCATCTTTGAACCTTGAGGAAATCACACTTCTAGTATTTTTCTTCTCAAAAGGTATCTTTGCCCCCTTGTAAATCTATGGGTGCTAAATAACATATGAAGAAAATGTATTGTCTAGCTCTATCTGGCAGCCTCCAAGGCTCCATGACACACTCAGAAAGGGAGAATATCTAGCTTCCTCTTTCAGCAACATGTGAACCCCAAATCTTGTCAATCCAAACAGATCCTCAGGTAAGCAAATCACGTCACAAAGTCATCTGAATTAATCTAAATTTAAATGACTTTCTGATTGTTGGTATGTTAGATTATCAACATCTTTTATTGTGTGTAACGTAGGCAAATCAATGTTAATTTGCTAATGATGGAGTCACACAAACCTTAACCTTCAGAGTAACGATTCAGAAAGCCTAAGGTGATGAGAGAAGCTCTTTGACGGATGCACACAGGCACCCATCCTTTATCACCAACATACATCATTCAAGGGCCTTTCCCTGAATAAGCAGTCCTGACAAGAAGAGCCAAGTCTTTTCATCTTTGCAGGCTGCTTGGTGAGGATGTCCTTCAATTATCCCCATAAAATTTTCTATCCCCTGCCAAATTGCACCACTTCCACCTGTAAGATGTAATTACTTCTTATACCAGCAGCAGAGTGAATCCAGGCAAACTTTAACCATTTTTATCCCCAAGTACCTTATAGAGCATTGTCACAAGTTAGCAAACACAGTAGACAGCTTTTCCAGCAAGACATGTGGAAAACCATGGAGCTCTCTAGAGGAAAATAAAATCTTGAGAATACAAGAGGAAGGGGGTGGTCCATTGATCAAGGTTAGTCAGGTAGGTAGTGTCTTTATTTATTTATTTATTTACTTATTTATTTATTTTTGGTTTTTTGAGACAGAGTTTCTCTGTGGCTCTGGAGGCTATCCTGGAACTCACTCTGTAGACCAGGCTGGCCTCGAACTCACAGAGATCCACCTGCCTCTGTCTTTATTAGGAAAAATTATTTGAATTTTTGCTTCCATAATGGTTAACATCTTCAGTTGGTTGACTCTAAGTAAAAGTAGTTATGTTCAATGATCTAGGTGGACCTCAGCCAGTCATTTGAGGCCTTTGAGGAGCAACACTAAGGTTTCTGTGAAAGAAAACGTCTCTCTAAAAAGTACAGCTTGTAAATGGACATGTTGTCAAACTGCCCTCTAAATATGTAGGTTTATACTTACAGATTAATGCTCTTCTCAGCCTTGGCCAGGAGAACTTTATTTTGCAGTGGGACATCAGTTAATTATAACTAGCCATAATACTGAGAATAAGTTACTTTTGAGTGTTCACCCCTCTTAAATAGGACAGCCACGGCATCTCTTATTTTCAAGGCTCAGAGGACATCATGGAAGAGGCGTGTAGAAGAATATAAAAGCTGGAGACTGAGGAGGCATACTGTGAAATGTTGTCTTCAAGACAGGACATGGGTATTACACTCACAAGTGAACAGCAACTATGGTTACCAGCACAAGACCTGCACAAGATTCAGCCTATTAACATTCTAGCATGGATGGGGGAAGGGCAGATAAGAGTCTATCACTATTAAAGGAGCTCTTAGAAATCAGTTGCTACTATGGTGAGGGGAAGTTGCTTTTCTTTGATGGTGGACCCTAATTAAACTCTGTGGGTCATAATGAAAATGGGAGAGGGATTTGTTGGAAGAAGGGGTCCAGAGGAAGGTAAGGGAGAGGTACAAGAAAGGTTAATGGGGTTGAGGATGATCAAAATACATTATATGCATGAATGAAAAAAACAAAAACAAAAAAAACCTATAGGATGAAAGTTTACCTGCATTTCCAGGCCACTAACCTGTTGTCTAGATTTTAGACTTGCTAGGCCAATGAGTACATGAGCCTGCACCTCCAAATAAATCCCTTTGAGTCTGTTTCCCTGGAGAACTCTGATGGATATAGCTGGCATTCTACAGGCATTAGGAAGTTTCCACTACCATATTTAGTGAGCTACTACACCAGCCAGCTGGCCTATACTCCCATGATGCAACATGCAGAACAGAGCTGGGCTCTGTTTTCATACAACTTAGCTTTAAACATGTTCGCACTTTTCCAATATTACACAGAACCCTTTTTCTTGGCTCCCCTAGGCTCACTGAATGATGTCCAAGACTTTAATATTTGTGAAGAAACACCTAGTTCTGTGTTCACTCTACTCACAGATCAACTGCAAGTATGTAGAGCTCAGTAAAAACGTCAAATCCCCTGTCCAGCTGACTTCAAGACAATGAACAGATAAAAGGCAGGCCCAGGGGTCCTCACCAGAGACTACAAGTGAACGCTTGGAATGTGTCTTGGAGTGTAAAGGAAATGCCTGGTGAATATTCAAGAGACTTAGATTTTAATTCCAGTTTCTTAGCTTGCATGGCTTGTCCTGAGAAGGACTAATAAGCACAGGCCTTCTGGAACAGAGGGATGTTAACTGCAATGCTGTGTGTAGTCGTTGTTCAAAGCACTGTTCCAAGGGAACGGCATGGTTCCAATGATCTTGTTTACTTTGGGTAGGCAATATTTTTCTTCTTCTGGGAAAAGAAATATGAAGTGTCAACTTGTTTCTTTCATGTTCTCATCTTGATGTCTCTCTTTTCACATCTCTACTTTGCAGCCATAATATGACTTTCTTGAGAAAACAGGATATGTTCAACACCTCCTATGATGTTAGCTTTGATTTTCAAATTGACATAACCTAGAATTACCAGGAAAAGAGAGAGAGA